GACCTTGGAACAGGTCCTAACAACTTACAATGGCAGGGTTAATTAATACCCAATTATGAAATTCGCGCCCAAATTATAAGTCGAATCCACGAAATTCGGTGCTTTTATATTATATTAGAAATGTTGGTTTACTACGTTGCCAACTATTCCGAGTATTATGCACGTTGTAAAACGTGGTACAGCTGACAGAATAAATAAACATACATTTCGTCACCGTTTCCTCCGTTTATACGGGGCGCGTTCGAGAATAAAATGTCACGACAGAGAAATGCAACAACACTAAAGTGTTAATAAATACCTCTGGTTCAAGACAGACGTCTAGTTTCTTGTGTCCCTTCTGTTTAACTTCGGCTCCAACACCTCGGGTTAGTAGCGATAAACCCGCCATGTTGGAAACGGCCACTTCACTGAGAAGTTTTCTTGGTTAACCCACAGGTGTCCTTTGCTAACTTCCCCCCGCGATTATCGCACTCGAATATCCAGATCTATAGTTGTGGAGTTATATGAATTGAATAGGGATATTCCTGCTTCGTTATCCGATCGCTCCCTTTTAGCTCAAGATCGCGGTAAATCCAAGGCTGTGCCATAGAATAACCTGTTTCTTAGCAAGTTTCCATTTGGCGGACTTTGTCATCACCGCCGCCATATTGTTTGGCGTTGCCGTGGATGGGCGTGACGTAATTGACTAATTTAAATATCAAATTGAGCTTTCACGCAGCGGAACACACATAACAGGTGTTTCCGCGGCGAGACAAACGTAGAAATACGCACAGAATTAAAATTCTAAATTACATTTCAAAGGTACATAGTTTATTATAGATGGCAAAACTATACCCATTTTTCAACATAAATCCCTGGCACGAATATTCGTAACTGATCTGGTGATTGATTTGCGCCCTCTATTCTGACATGCAACATAATATACCTACTGAGACATAATACATTATTTGTACAGCAATCGGCAGGGGGGGGGGGGGTACAAAACAGTTAGCAGTTAGGTAATCAACCTGGGTGTTTAATTTCACCTCCGTGCACCTTCGCTTGTGTGTAAAATAACACCTACAAGGTACGAGGGTGTTAGTAATGCGGTGACTCTCGGTACTTGAGTGTAAGCTATACTGCACTTCTCTTATTTCTTAGTAACGTTAATACAACTCGGACTATATAGGTAATAGTGCACTTTTAATGACGCACGAATGGTCTTGATTATATATACGTTCCAGTTTGATTCACGGGGGAAAACACTTCGCAATTTGTTACCAATCGAAATCCAAGATTTTCGATGCATGATAAGTCGTAATTCACTTTTGGGAAGACAGACAAAAATTCATACAATTAGCATACAACAAACTGTACAAAACTGAAACGAAACTTTTTAGCAGCAAAGTTTATTCCCACTACCACAACAGAGGTGACAATGATAAACATCACGTGTTTATAAATATATTGAATTACAAATTTTAATTTTCCAGATAGTTAAAAACAAATTGGCCCAAACTCCAGTGTGGAATGACACTACAGTGCACTGTAATACGTCACAAATATACTGCAATTTGTAATGGTTCAGCGTATGGACTGATGTTTGATGTTTCGCTGTTTTGCAAACACAAATCTCCGAAACGCACATTGCAATTGGCAATCCCCAATTTTTTTCAGTCGTCCAGTACTTCAACGAGATTAATCAGCCATCCTATGGTACGTTCATACGACTATCTCTGATTTGCTCACCATGTTGTCCGCCCTGTTCTTTGCTTCTGGTGAGAAATTGTATTATTTTTGCGTCAGAACTACACACTTTAAAATAGAGTAAAATTCATTTTATTAGAATAATATTGCCATGGCTGGGAGTATGCATAGTTTCATGACCCCGCGTAGGAATGTAAAAGGGTTGTTCAAACTCCACCCCTTTTCTTGTATGTTTCAGTTTGTGCTCACTCGTCTTCCTTTTGGCCTGTCAATCATAACGGCACAGTTTACAAATAAAACTCATTGCGTTTATAAAACTTGCATACAGGATGTGTCATGTTATATTATGTATAACCTTCGCTATTTCAAACTCAGTGCAGGATTTACAGAGTCGTATGCACACAAAAACCAAACCGTCTTCATTAATTCATGCATATCCCATAATGCAAAGCGTCATTGTAAAGGTGATCACCGCCAAAAGCCTGTACCAGTCCCTGCATTTAGTGAAATTTGTAAAAAAAAAAAAAAAAAAACTATCAGCGCATATTGTAACAGACTGCTGCAATCATTCGGAGGTATTTTCTGATTATATGTGATTTGGAAGATTTCAAGTTCTTCACCGCACGAGAATCATGTATATATCAATACAAATCAATAGAATGTAATGCGCATGTAAAATACACTTTCGAAAACATAATAGAAAAAGTTTTGTTTTCAAACAAAGCTGTACCTTCGAGTGGAACCAGTTTCAAGTAAACGTATTTTGTGCTATTTTAGTCTTCTGACAGAGACGACCTTAATGTCGGTGTTGAGGTAATTATCCCAATCCTTTAGTACTTGCCGTAGAGGGCTTTTGACGAACTCAAAATCTGCTCGATGTGTTTAGCTTAGCTTCTTTCTACTGGACTTTGGGCCAATATTGGAAAAATGTTAAATAAGTTTAGGAAAAGTACAACAGATCAGGAGCATTTCTCTCTCGTATTTTGGAATACACTAGTTACGGGTTCCTGGACGTCACGAGTTCCCTGGTTGTTGCGTTACTGCCGACAAAATGAGAATCGATTTTACAACTGGTCGTACTGGTTCCCGTTTGCCTCAGTTTTTCACAAGCTAATATACATGTGTGTATGAAATATCTTATTCGGATTCACTCTGGTTCACTCGGAAAGTGAATCCGTCGGCGAGGGCGCAATAACTATCGCCGCCCGT